TGAATGCTTTAGATAAGGATTTGAATGCTTGCTTTCTATTTTAAAAATAAATTAATTTTTTATTTTGCTTAAGGCATTTGGATGCCCTACCTAAAAATCAAAAAATAATTGATCCAACAATTGCAAAACATCAATGACTTTTCCTTTTTTTTTTATATATATATTTCAAGAATTATCACAACAACATTAATTATACCAAGAATACAAAAATTATATAAACTCCTATGGATGTTTGCAAGCATGCAACAACATATCATGTTTTCGTTTATGAAGAACATACAAAGAAACCAAAACACAAGCCAACTTGGCTCTAATACCAATGAAAGATAAATTCGTGCAATATATATGAACATAATCATATATAATTGTTTAGCCAAAGTAGAAGTGAAAGCCTAGCTTAAATTACTGGTTGTTAGACAAGATCATAATACAAAAATTGTTCATTTTCATAGCATAAGTCCTTCAATAGACCGAAGCAAGAATTCCTCTTAAGAGTTATATAATGCTTGCCTGATTACTCTCTCTCTTTCTTTTTCTTAATTTTTTTTGTGAGAAACCTTTTCCCATCACTTTTTCTTAATGGCTAAATGCCATTATTATATAGGAAAATGAGATGAGCAACATTTTTTTTCCTTAAAAGAGTTTTGTAACTGCCTAAGGCAGGTTCATGACATGAAAATAAACTACCCAAGGCATTTAGTTTCTTGGATAGTTAATTTCATGAGATGTAACCCACCCATTATGGGCAGTTACCAACAATAGCCTTTTAAAAATGATTATTTCAAGTCTAGAATTATATTATTAATCTTAAAAACCAAGCTATAAGTTATTTATTAACTTAACATGATTTCTCTTCGATTAAGTTATTACTTAATCAATTTTTATATTTTGAAAATATTTTATAACAAAGCAAAACTTTAACTTTTGCTTGGAGTGAGCTACTTACCTTATCTGATCAAGCCATCGATTAGAAAAGTATCTATCCATTGGAGTCTCAAGCAATCAATTGTAATCCTATTACCTTTTCATGAAAATTATAGGAAGCATCAATGTTTAGCTTAAAAACATTTAATGGAGGTAGTTGCCATGCTTGTCTTTATGTTCTAGTCCCACCATCTTATGTTGCCCACCCCTTGCACTAGCTATTGCAAACACCAACCTTCTTACTAACTCATATAGCACCCTAGCCATACCATATCTCCCTTTTATGTAAGCATTGGTTCTTATTATTCCAAATCATCCAAATAACATACATACAAAGCTCAAGACCATTATATTAAGTAGCATTATCCAAACTTCATACCAAAAGTCATGATTCAATGATGTAGTAATTTGCACAAAACTAACACATATATTCACACATCCCTCTAGACCATAGTACAGTAACAGCATGCAAAGAAAACATGAAACCAAGATTCATTTTGAATTCCACGTGTTGGACAACATACCTCAATCTACACACCCCACCCTTTGTAGCCAATGCGACAGAAGTTGGCAAGACCCTATGTAGAAGATGCCACATGAAGGTCTTAATTTTTAACTATAATCTAATTTAAACTTTATAATACTCTTTATTTTATTTCCTCTAATTTATTCATTAGTTTTTTAATTTATTATATTATTATTTTTAAATTAAATATGTGAAAGTGAAAGCATGTTCCAGCGCGTAACTTTTTTATTTTATATAAATATATAAAAGTCAAAGCTTTTAACAAAAAAGGAAAAAAAAATCAATAGGGATTATCTATTCTTTTGACATATGGACGGTCTTGAATAATTGCCATATGTCTTGCATTAATTATTTTGATTTGTTTTCATATAAATTTTATTAATTTAAAAGATATTTAGTTTAACTAAATTAGGTATATTTATTTTCTTATAAATATCAAATATTATTGCCTTTTATAATAGCATTACAATTCAATTATCTTAAATCACTTTCAAATAAATTCAATTTTTAATTTTAATCACTAAACATGAACTCCATAAATAAAAAATATACTTTAAAAGCATTGACTATTTGATATCCGTAATTTTAGTATTTAATTAAAAAATAATTTATGTAATGAATATATAAATGATACAACGCTAAGAATTCAAACTTAAAATAAAAGGCCCAATTAATTACAAACATATTTTTTATATTTCATTCTATATAAGTATTAATTGCAGTCACACATATTTACTAACATAATTTACTATTTCAAAATCTATTCTCTAATGATCCATTATAATTACTCTACGTAAATTACTCTCAATTAATTTATAAGAGACTTTATAATTCTTATTATAAATAGAGAATCATGTAAGCTAAGAATGTTAAGAGGCTAATCTCCAAATGTATCAATTTGTAATTAAGTAGATTTTTGTCATACAATTATAATAATTTCTTAAGAAAAAAATTATTTTGATTTTGATTTTTTTCATTTTTATATTTTTGTCAAGTTACATTATTCTTTTAATTTCTCAATTACTGTTCATTACACTAACAACAATGCTGAATATTGATCATCAAGTTAATTTTTTTTGCTTTTGTGTTCATAGATGCTTTCCTTTTATCATATTTGGTAGTTGGTATTATTTCTTTTTTATTCACTTAATTTTTTATGGAAAAAAAAGTAGCTTTCATTAACATCAAGAAGCATGAGTTTAGAAATCAAGCTTAGAAGTGACCCCAACTAGGTATGTTGGTTGTTAATCTCACACTCAATCTTAGTTATGTGGTGTGCTAAAAAATAAACAATTCTTTTAGTATGAATGAACTAACAAAATGCACAAGATAAAGTCAATTTTAGCATATTAAAAATTCATATCCAATTATGCATATAATATGCTTTTGTGATTTCAGAAATAGTTACTAATGAGTCACTCTCCATTATATGAGAGTTAAAATCCTGATCACATTTATCATGATCGCATTTAATAATATAAATGTTTTCATTTTGATTACAAAATGGATCAAAATTGTCAAATTAACTATCATTTCTGTTCAATTTTGTCTTGATTAATATTACAATTATATATCCTGCTTTTCTTTTTTGGATTGGTTTCTATTTCTTTCTTGGTTTAATTAGCTTGAATTGCATTTGTTGCTATTTTATTGGTTTTTAACATGACAATGTCCAAAACTTGATTTATTGCTTAATTATCTTTTATTGATCTAATTTTTTGAATTAAAATAATACAAATATACAATAAATCATAAGCAGAAAATTGTTTTCATGTACAGTTCAAGCTTTTATAGTTTTAAGAGTTTTTTGAAGATCAAAATTATTAAATTTTGGTTATAATGTATTCTTTATATATAAAGAGATAAAATAATACACTTACCAAAAAATTTTAAATAAAGTTGGGATAATGACTTATTATCTTTAAAAATTTTATACTAATTACGATATTTAATACGTATTTCCATGTAAATATGATAAATAATTTTATTATAAAATATTCTTAAAATTTTAATTTAGTTATATATTGATCTTTAATATTTATTATTTATTTATTTTATATCAAAATTTTTATTTTTATACAAAAATTATTAGTTATATTATAATTAATTTTTTATATGTAATTGTATATCCGTGCATTGCACATGTTTAAAACTAATTAATATTAATTTTCATGCTCGAGGTATTTAGTTGACCTTTGACCAAAAAACACATTGAGAATTTGAATAAGTTTAGGCCTAGGCCTTGGCCTTGAGCGCTTGATTGGTGGAGCAGCGATTAGGCAATAACGCTCGGCTCATTTCTTCGAATGGGGGAAAACTGAAAAGCGAGAGCGCATTGACTCCGGAGTCAAATCCCGAGGAGACGCTTCAAGTCGACCTTTACTATCCCCCAAGAACTTTCCTCCCTCGGCTTTCTTAATGAACTGATGTGTTTTCTTCACAACTACAAGGATGCCCACTCTCAACCACAATTACCAATATACCCATATATCCCTTTTTAATCTTAATATTATTTTTCTTGTTAATATTTTTATTTTGTTTTTTCTATGTTTCAAAATTATATAGTTTTGAAAACTTAAAATTTTTTTTAGACAATAGTTGTATGGAATATGTTGATAGATTACTCAACTATTTTTTAGATAATAATTTTTATGATCAGAATTTAATTTTTAATAATTTTAAATATAAAAAATATATATTTTTATCAATAATCACATAATTTATTAATAAATATTAAATTTTAGTTACAATGATCAAGATTTGATAATTTCAAGTATATATTTTTATTTTTTTATGATTCTTTTGGCATTAAAAAAAATCATAAACTATTAATTTTATAAAAAGATTAAATTTTATGTAAAATACATTGGAATCACAATTTTATTGGCAAAAAAAAGAATCATAGTTTTTTTATTTAAATTTAGTGAAAGTCAAAAAGGAAAAATAAAAACAAAACGAAAGCAATAATTATGGATCCTTTCTCTTTTATACATTCAAATGGACTTATATATATACCTATGTATGTGTGTGTGTCAAATTAGCATAGATACTATACACATTTTTACTTTCTTTGGTTTTTAAATATTTCAAGAAAAGTGGCAAAATTGTAAATTCTAAGTAAATAAAGGTATAATCGGGTTTTTATTTTATTTTTTCATATCTTGGATAGTAAAATATGATAATATTAATACTTAATTGAGTCATTCAGATTATATAACATTTAAATTATATAAATTTGTTTACTAAAATGGTATTTAGAATACCATCATCATATATTATTATTTGAAACTAATTACATTATAAATGAGTCTTACATTAATTAATGAATTTATAATTTAAATATTATATTAAAAATTTTAAAATTTAAATATCAAATGAAATATTTTAATATAATTTAATATCCATTAATATAATTAATAAAATGATTGGTACCGTTTCATTTTCTTGTAACAGTGGCAAGGGTGTGAATCATGCCACTAATTTTCCACATGAATTCCCCATTGCATTAAATGCTTTCCCCGTAATATCTAAGAAAAAACTCCAAAAAAGTTTTGTAATTTAGTTCGAGAGAAGAGGGCAGAACTTAAGAAATAATTCAAGGTCAATTATATATTTATTAAATATATCCAACAACCCATTATCAAGCCACAAGCTTTCCCTCTCCATCATTCATTTTCTTCTGCACCCCAAAAAAAAAAAAAAAAGGAAAAAAAAACAGAACCTTCTTGATCATGGATAGAGAGCAGGAAGAGCTTCAATTTCTTGGTTTCTTTGGCATATTGAAAGAATCCTTGAAGATTATATTTTCATGGAGAAAAATCTTCAGCCAAATAACTTTAGCCCTTATTCTCCCTCTCTCTTTCATTTTCCTAGCTCACATCCAAATCTCTCAGCTCCTTTTTATGAACATCCTGAATGACCAAGACACCCTGAATTATACCAAAGCTGGAACTCCTGGATATGCTAAGCTGTCTGATATAATATCATCCGAATGGACTGTTTTTTGGCTTTTCAAAGCTGCATATTTCACTTTCCTTCTCATCTTTTCACTTCTCTCAACTTCTGCTGTTGTTTATACAATTGCATGCATTTACACAGCAAAGGAAATCTCCTTCAAGAAGGTCATCAGTGTGGTACCCAAGGTTTGGAAACGACTTATTGTCACTTTTCTATGGAGTTTCGCCATCGTTTTGGTTTACAACATTATTGCTGGTGTCTTGTTCTTCTTGTCGGTTGCTTTTCTGGGACTCGGCAGCCTTGAGGTTGCGATTCTTGTTGTTCTCTTCATCTTATACTTAGCAGGATTCGTTTACATCTCCTTGGTTTGGCATTTGGCGAGCGTTGTTTCAGTGTTGGAAGATGTTTATGGGATCAAAGCCCTGAAGAAAAGTAAGGCGTTGATAAACGGAAAGATGGGAGTTGCGGTGGCCGTGTTTCTTGTTCTTATTCTATGTTTTGTTGGGATTCAGTTGGTGTTCGAGAGTGGTGTGGTTCTTGCCTGGTCGTTAAGTACTGAAATCAGAATTGGAATTGGAATCCTTTGCTTTTTGCTGCTGTTCAAGGTTATTCTGTTCGGGCTTGTTGCTCAAACAGTGATCTATTTTGTCTGCAAGTCCTATCACCATGAAAATATCGATAAGTCTTCTTTAGCCGATCATCTCGAGGTTTATCTTGGGGAGTATGTTCCTCTCAAAGCTAAGAATATTCAACTGGAGCAGTTTCATGTGTAATTGAACTTCTTTTTTTTTGTTAAATAAAGGATTACCTTGTAATTTGGTGCTTAGATTACATATCTTTTACAATTTGGCATTTATAAAAAAGTTAAAAATTTAATATTTCAATTTTCATTCTATAATGTCATTTACTTAAAGTATCAACTCCATTAATAATTAATATATTGATATAATAAAAAATTAATAAATGAAATCATGAAATATAATTGTTATAACGTATAAATTTGTGAATCTATCGTTAGACACAACATAGGAGTCTTAATTAAAATTTTTTTATTTAGGTGTGATTAGTCACCTAATTGAATTTGTCTCATTTTAAAAAGAAATTTAAACTTGATTTGGATATCTTTCAAAGATAAATTCTAGTATACGAAATTAGGAATAAGTCCAAAAATATAGTTATATGTAAAAAAGGTATAAGCACTCTCACAATGCACATCCGAAGGATGATATTAATTGATTTTGTGTTATCTAAACCTTAAAACATGTTTATAATCTTTCCGAGTAAATTTATTATTGAAAATTAATTTTAAAATTATTCTAATAGTTTAATAGCAATTTAAAGATATTTTTTCACCTCAAGAGTATCATGAAAACTGGTTTCCCACTTTGAAAATGTTCAGTCGTTAAATTTATTAATGTATTTTTTATGAGTTAATTAGTTTTAAAAACAATCAATAAAATCCTCCGGTAGTTTGGTAATATTTTATTTTGATGCATATCCTCTTAAAGTTTGATAAAATTTTTATTTGAAAATTTATTTATAAATTTATCTTAAAAAATCGTTAAATCTTTTAATAATTTATAAGATTTAACTCTAAGATTTAAATCTTCCAATAGTTTAGTAGTATTGAAAGTTTTATTTTTTCACAAAACTCAATAAATCTTTCAATAATTTGATAAGATTTAATTCAGATATTTAAATTTTCTCATAGTTTAATAAGATTGAAAATTTTATTTTCCTTATAAAAATCATTAAATTTTCTAATAGTTTGACAAGATTTAATTTAAGATTTAAATCTTCTAATAGTTTGGTAAGATTTATTCAAGATACTTTTAATTAAATTTTACTATAAAATCCTCCAATAATTTGGTAAGATTCATAATTTGAAACACATTTTAAATCCTCAAAAATCCTTCAATAGTATGGTGGAACTCATGATTTATTCTAAACATATTTTTGAGAAAAATCAAATAAAATAACTAGAATTTAAATAAAATAAATTAAACAAATAAATTAAAATTAAAAAAATACAAAATTTACCAAAGAAATGTTGGTGGCTCAACTCATCTTGGCACTAGCTTTGCTTGAAAAATAAAATTCAGTTTGGGGGCTTGTTATGTGGCTTGGATCACGGCTTGGCTTTGTGTATTAAAGCTATGAATTCTTTGGTCTAATAAAGCACTAAAGGGTGTCGTTTCAATTGTGTATTAAAGCTAAAAAAATTTCTTTTCTCTTTAGATATCTTTTTCCTCATTTTCTCTCATTTTTTCTACTTCTCTCTCTAGAAAAGAAACCAAAGGCCAGACCTTCAAAACTTCATCGGGATGTAGGTTTTGTCATCAAAATCTCATAGAGTTTTGCCAGAATTTGCGTTTGGTCATTAAATTGTAGGAATGGTTGTCGAAAACTAAAAATTTTGACCAAATTCTTGGGACATTACCAAAATCTCACCATAAAGTTTTAGTTTCATCTAAAAATTCAATCAAAAAATTCAAAAAACCTAAAAAATTCCAAAAAAATTGCAAAAATAGTTCTTTTTTGCAAAATTTGACCTTCCAACATTGTTCTTATTCTAGTACTCTCCAATTTCAAAAAAATAATTTTCATACACTCTTGCAACCAGAATCCTAATTTTTCTTGCTCTGTTTAATTTCTCATTCTTCTTTACTGTGTTTTATGTGTTCCTTCACTATATGCCTTTACTTTATATAAAGTCAAAAATCCTTCAGAGATAAGAGTTTAGAATAGGATTGAATTTCAAAACTCATGCATTATCTTCAAAGTTTTATCTTCAATTCCTGAGATTATTAAGACTTTAACCAAATAAAAATTTTAATTTTTGATTTTATCTTTTTTTCCTTTTTTTAAAAAGCTAGATAATTAAAACTCAGAAACAAGATAAATGAAATTAAATAATTAAATGAACTAAAGAGATAAACAACAATGATAAAGTAGAAAGGATAAATAAGATTTAAAATATATATGATAATACAATAAAAGTAATAATAAAAGGATAAAGTAAGGAACAAAATAAAAATATATAAAAAATATAAAATTCAATAACTAGGCTTGAATCGAATATAAGCTCAATTGGTTTAGGCCTCAGACTAAACTGGGTGTTTACAATTAGCCCTATTTGCATAGTTTTTATGAAATAGGAATTGTGCAAAGACATAAATATACCTTACATTCAAGCCCAAATTATTCAACATTTTTTCCATTTTTTGAGGAAGGTTCATCGAAAACAAAAGCACATGACTATTAAAATTAAGGGCTATTTCAACATAAAGGCACATAACTTGAAAACTAAGAGTTCCTTCAACATGAAGGCACATAACTTTACAAATTAAGGGTTTTTTTAACACAAATGCTCACAACTTAAAAAAAAAAAAGGCTCTTTTAACACGAAGGCACACAACTTTTAAAAAAAAAACAATGGCTTTTTTAACATGAAGGCACACAACTTTAAAAATTAAAGGCTCTTTCAAAGTGAAAGTTCACAAATTTAAAAAAATAAGGATGATACTAGGAGGTTTTGACGATCCTGTCTATAGGTTTTATAGATCATGTCCAAAAAACTTAGAGATTATGTCTGAAGGTCTTACAAATCATTTTTAACATTAAAAAATGATCTTAGACAATTTGATTGGTTAAACTTGTGTGTTATGGGGATGAACTATTCAACTCCAAGTTGCCTTAGTACCATGAGGGATGCATAGCTTATTTACAGGCCTAAAAATGGGACGTCTATCTCATCTCCACATTGATACAACATACATTATTGATTTAACCTTAGGACTAACCATTTCACTTGACTATTTGTGAGCTTTTATAGCAAATACTCTCACTTTTTCTTGGATTTTATCCTTGGCCATTTCCTCTCACAAAATTCATTAATCAGAATTTGATTATGAAAATTGAGTTTAGAGAAAATGCTATTCTTCATTCGAAATAACTCTTCCTCCACAGGCATAATAATGGTGTGCTATCCAGAAAATGCTTTTTCTTTTCATTTTGTCAACAATAGTTCAACGACCTGATGATTTCTACCAAAATCGTCGATGAATGATTGTATACCTTTTTATCTGCTTGAACAAATCTATCACCTCTATCTCAATATAGCCCAAGACTTTAGAAAAAATCACCATATCATATATTGCCAAGGTGAACATGTTTAGTCCTTGGTCATCATCTGGATGTTTTGCAATGAAATCATAGAGAAATTTCTAAGGAGTATGTTTATGTACTTTTTTTCTTATACATATAAATCTATAACCTTCTCGTTGACTCCCAAAGTATGGGTCAATTTCTTGCAATGTTCTGGCTTTTGTTTCTTTACATAAATTCTGTTTGAATGTTGGAGATACATACTTACCAAAATTGAATACTCCCCTATGACCAATGTCATATCAACTTTATTGAAGATAAAGCAATGATATAAAGGCCCCAGAATTACACTATTGCTTTGATGAGTGAATTTCTTCATTGATAAGATATGTGCAATATAACCATATTTTTTACACAAAGCTTGTTGTCTTGAAAAACTTATGTGCTTTCATATGTCTGGCAGGTCTTTTAGATCATTTTGTTTGAGGCATAGATAGATTTTTAGGTAAGGTAAAGACATAGTCAGACTAGTAAGGCACTCCAATTCTTGTCTATCATAGGCTACAAGCGAAAATGATTCAATATAAGTGAAAGTATTTTGCTAGCCTGCATGGAGACATGAAATCTTATGAAAACATATGTATTTTATTCCATCATAAAGGACAAGGCTTGGGTGTAAAGTTGATGTTATGCATATGTACATGAATAACATAATAAGAAATACTTGAAAAATAAGTAAAGAAAAAAATCTTTTTAAGGAAAAAAAATCAAATTTATTAGGCTTGGATAACATAAATTCATTTGCTGGCTTGACTTTTGACTATCTTCAGTGGGGTCATTAAACTGTCATAACGTATAGATTCATGAACTTATATTTAGACAAAACTTAAGAATTACAACCAATATTTTTTATTTCAGTGCAATTGACCACATAACTAAATCTTTCAAATTTTAAAAAGAAATTCGAGTTTGACTCAAATATTTTTAAAAAGGAAAATTCTAGCATATGAAATTAGAACTAGTTTTAGGAGAACAATTATTTGTGAGGAAGGTTTCAGTATCCTTACAACGCCTATCTGAAGGATAGTACTAGTTGATTTTGTGTTATCCAAGCCTTAAAACAAGTTTGTAATTTTACCCACTAAATTTAATATCAAAAAATGAATATTAGAATTACTCAATAGTTTGATAGTAATTTAAGAGAATTTTCTCACTTTAGTAGTATTCATAAAAACTAGCGTCTCACTTTGAAAATGCTCTATTATCGAATTCATTAATGTGTTTTTAATGAGTTAATTATTTTTAAAAATAATCAATAAAATTCTCTAATAATTTGGTAAAATTTTATTTTGATGCATGTTCCCCAATAGTTTGGTGGGATTTTTATTTGAAAATTTATTTATGAATTTGTTTAAAGGAAAATGGTTAAATCTTCCAAAATTTTCATAAGATTTAGCTTTGAGATTAAAATCCTTCAATAGTTTGATAGAATTGAAAATTTTATTTTTTCATAAAACTTATTAAATCTTCCAATAATTTGATAAAATTTAAATCAAAGATGTAAATCCTCTAATAATTTAGTAGAATTGAAAATTTTATTTTATTTTTTATAATAATTATTAAATCTTTCAATAGTTTGATAAGATTTAATTTAAAATTTAAATCCTCCAAATAGTTTGGTAAGATTTATACAAAATACTTTTAATTAAATTTTATTATGAAATCCTCTAATAGTTTGG